GTGTGTGTGTGTGTGTGTGTGTGTGTGGGTGTGTGTGTGTGTGTGTGTGTGTGTGTGTGTGTGTGTGTGTGTGTGTGTGTGTGTGTGTGTGTGAAGTGAGTGTGTGAAGTGAGTGAGTGTGTGTGTGAGCGAGCGAGCGTGCGTGAGTGAGGGTGTGAGTGTGTGTGTGTGTATGTGTGCGTGCGTGCGAGCGAGCGATTGTTACTGCATGGCGCTGCTGTGCAGTTCTGGAGTGTGCTTGAGGGTTTTTAAATGACATTTAAAAAAAAAAGAAAGTTAATTGAAAAATGTAATTCTCACTTGCTCGCCCTCGTGTCGTTCCAAACCCATCTGATGTTTGAGGAACAGACCAATATTTTGTTATTCACAGAAAATGGTGAACAGACCAAAAAGTAATGTATTGGCGCATTCAAAAGAGTTCTTGAGAGGAATCGCCAATACAGGAACAAAATTATTAGATCATTACAGTTGGATATTTTCAGTGAATCAGTTGTCGGAACCAATTCGATTGATTCTTTCACAAAACTGATGGATCCGCTTCACTGGAGGAGAAGATTTTTAGTTAGTAGCAGCTTACATTTCAGTTTGTTCCTCACAGAAGAGTATCAGATTACTTAAGAAGAAGGCTTAATTTTTCTTCTTCACTTCACTTTTATGATACTTTTGATCTGCGTGCGTGCGAGCGAGCGATTGTTACTGCATGGCGCTGCTGTGCAGTTCTGGAGTGTGCTTGAGGGTTTTTAAATGACATTTAAAAAAAAAAGAAAGTTAATTGAAAAATTTAATTCTTTCTCACTTGCTCGCCCTCGTGTCGTTCCAAACCCATCTGATGTTTGAGGTACAGACCAATATTTTGTTATTCACAGAAAATGGTGAACATACCAAAAAGTAATGTATTGGCGCATTCAAAAGAGTTCTTGAGAGGAATCGCCAATACAGGAACAAAATTATTAGATCATTACAGTTGGATATTTTCAGTGAATCAGTTGTCGGAACCAATTCGATTGATTCTTTCACAAAACTGATGGATCTGCTTCACTGGAGGAGAAGATTTTTAGTTAGTAGCAGCTTACATTTCAGTTTGTTCCTCACAGAAGAGTATCAGATTACTTAAGAAGAAGGCTTAATTTTTCTTCTTCACTTCACTTTTATGATACTTTTGATCTTTCTGAGACTTCAGTCTCTTATTTATTGTAATTTAACAGTGAGATCAGGTTTTTATGTCTCTTTTATGCCTTTTTTATTGCTCATATAGATGAAACTCTGATGCTTGTAATGTAAATCAATGAGATCTTTATAACAGTAGCAGATACTTACATTAAATGATATAAATATCAGTTATTTTTATGTTTACTTGATAAAAATTTGTAAAGACTTGACAGAAAAAAACACACAAAGCACAAGCTGAAGGAGGACGTTTGTACAATTAGAATAAATACCTTTTACTTGATTTAAAAAAAACTCTAAACTATCATTCAGACAACAGAAGGCATGCAGTAGATTGTGTGCGACGGGTTTAACAGCAAAGTTTTGATCATGTTGATCATTTAGAGGCCTTAGAAACTTCTATTAACCCTTTAAAGCCTCCTGTATCGTATTTAGTGCATAAAATGTATTTTTTCTTCCATAAAAAAAAGAAAGTTTTGTGGGTTTGGAGCAAAATAAAGGTGAATTTTTTTCCTTTGAGAGCTTGATAGAGAGATGGAGGCAGATCCAAGTGAACGAGAAGACCGAGAGCGTGCATGAACAGAGAAACTGAACTCCTCTCTCGCTCGTTTAGTTCTCACTAAACATTCCCTCCTTTCGTTTTCCTTGCATTGGTCCAAATCCCTTGCTATTGTATCCGTCCTCTGCCAGAATCTCTCCGCCCAGCTCAGAGAGTATTAGAGAGCGGGATGTGTTGGATCAGCGTGGATGACGGCTGGGGACAGGGCTGGGACACGGACACAATACTGTAAACAGAGATGTAGAGGAGTTGGGAAGGACTGACGGTTGACTGGCCAGAGCGAGCGAGAGAGTCTAAGGGAGGGATGGAGACACAGCTGTGTTTGGGCTAACAACACTCTAACCTGCTCTGAAAACGTCAGGCCTTTGTGACCACACTCACACCTGGAAGAGCTGCACTTACTGCTTTTTAGTTATGCACATTATGCAAAGGTTCTGGATGCATGCTATTCCCATAAAACATGTGCAGGAGATGCTTTCCAGAAATATTGCACACTTTGGTGTCGAGTTACAGTTTTATTTTTCTGTCTTTAGAGGCACAAATCCCTTGTTGGATTAACAAGCTCTGAAAAACAGCTTGCACATTAAATGTGTTGACTGCGATTTCCGGGATGTGTTGGATCAGCGTGGATGACGGCTGGGGACAGGGCTGGGACACGGACACAATACTGTAAACAGAGATGTAGAGGAGTTGGGAAGGACTGACGGTTGACTGGCCAGAGCGAGCGAGAGAGTCTAAGGGAGGGATGGAGACACAGCTGTGTTTGGGCTAACAACACTATAACCTGCTCTGAAAACGTCAGGCCTTTGTGACCACACTCACACCTGGAAGAGCTGCACTTACTGCTTTTTAGTTATGCACATTATGCAAAGGTTCTGGATGCATGCTATTCCCATAAAACATGTGCAGGAGATGCTTTCCAGAAATATTGCACACTTTGGTGTCGAGTTACAGTTTTATTTTTCTGTCTTTAGAGGCACAAATCCCTTGTTGGATTAACAAGCTCTGAAAAACAGCTTGCACATTAAATGTGTTGACTGCGATTTATATCTCACAACTCGGAGCTTATATCACGCATTTCAGAATCTTGAGTTTATATCTCACGATTCAGACTTTTTTCTTGTAATTCTGACTTTTCAGAATGAAATGTAATTGCTATTTGGAGAAAAAAGAGATTTTTTCCAAATCTGAGTTTATATCTTGCAATTGTACCTTATATCTTGTGATTCTGAATTTAGTATATCTCGCAATTCTGAGTTTGTGTCTTGCAATTCTGTCTTTATTTCTCACAATTCTGTTTATATCTCACAATTCGTAGTTTGTATCTTGCAATTCAGAGAAAATTGTGAGAAAAAACTCCAAATTGTGAGATTTAAAAAAAAGTCTGAATTGTGAGCTAAAAAGCTTTATTTTTGGAAACTTTATTTTTTTTTTCATATCATGGCTGAAACAAGCTTCCAGTGGAAATGTATATTTACATTTGAATTAATTTTTAGAGCACCTTTTTACTGAGCAAATGTAGTTTCAAGCACTATTTTATACACTATTTGTGCATAGTGTAAGCATACTTTTCGCAATATGGTGTCCCACACAGACACAGTTTACATAATGTTACTGTCTAAACATTTGATATTGTTAGTACAATATTTGTATTTAAAACAATAGAAACAAATTGATACAATACAAATTACCATAAATTATTTAAGTGAAAAGTAAATAATTTGTTAAATGTTTGGGGCATCAGTGTTATTTTAGTATAACTCAGATACTGTGAAAGTTTTTATTAATATTTTGAATTAGTTTTTATTTTTTTAACTTTCAGATTTTTTTTTTTTTTCTGTTTTCAGAAAGACTTTCATTCATGAGGGCAGAAGGATCCATTCTGATCATGCGTTTATGATGTTTATTGCACTCTTTTATGGAACTGTTGATTTCCGTCCACCAGTGTTACTTTAGTATCATTTATATGCTATTCATGCATTTATTATTCGTATCATTTAAATGACCATTTCAGTTTTCGTTTTAAATTTTCGTTTTATTTCAGTTTTACTTTTAGTTTGTTTTAAAATATTTTTTAATTTTAGTACTTCAACTTAAAAAATCATTTATTTCGTCAACCCATACGCAAATGTAATATATGTATGCATATACAATTTCAATATATTAATTTGTCAGTTGAAGTATAAACATATATGGAACATATTAACATATACCTAGCCCATTTAATTCATATGTTTATGTATGTGTAATATACAGTATATATGCCATGTACACAAATATCCATCCTAAAACCCTTTAATACATGGTGATATTATAGTATCTATAAATGACGGACATGTAAGAAATATATATGTAAATTAATAAAGTTGCATACATGCCATATATTTCTGTATATATTTCATATACTTATTTTTTTAAGTTAAAGTTATCTAATATTTATATATTTTTTTATGTTGCATATATTTCGATTAGCAACACAGTAACATCCACTCATGTTGCCCATAAACCAAACTCACCCAATGACAGTTTTCCACTCTATCTCTGAATTAAACAGTGTACTCCACCTTTAAGACCTCTATATGCAAATGACGTTTGTTATAATTAGCTAACCTCTTTGCAAATGCAATGACCCCAGCCAAGCTGTAAAATACTAAAGTGGTATGATACTGCACGCCACACATGATATGCAAACACGGGCAAGCAATGATAATAAGCTCATAGCTGTGACCTCAATTCTGTGGCGATTTCTGACTCATTTTTTAAGCTTATTTTCCATAAATGTGTTTTTTTGTGGGCTAGTTATAAATGCCATCTTCTTATACAAGACCCTTAATAAAGTCCAATAGATCATATGAAGTATATAAGGTAAAGCTGCTACTGTGATGAATGTACAGTAATGTGAAATGGCGTTGAATGATGTTCTGGTGTGTTGTTCTGTGGCAGTGGGTCTGGAGCAGCAGTGTGAGCTGACCTGTCGACCGGTCGGGTATCGTTTCTACGTGCGGCAGGCGGAGAGGGTACGAGATGGAACGCCCTGCGCAAATAACACACCCAACGATGTGTGTGTGGGAGGACGCTGTCTGGTGAGAAAACAGCTAGGCTGACATGCACCAATATGATAACATCACTACCGAAATTCAATTCTAAGTCTAAATCTGTGAGGACAGCATTACAGATCTTTAGTTCTAGAATCTGGCAGCTTCATGTATTACTGTAATGGTAATAAAGTCACTGTTTCCTCCGTGTGTGTGTGTGTGTGCGTGCGTGTGTGTGTGTGTGTGTGTGTGTGTGTGTGTGTGTGCGTGCGTGTGTGTGCGTGTGACAGAGCGAGGGCTGTGATGGTGTGTTGGGCTCAGGGTTGGTTCGGGATCGCTGTGGCGTGTGCGGTGGGGGAGACAGCACCTGCGAGAGGGTCACTGGAAGTTTCCTAAACACGAGTGTCCCGCTGGGCTACCACAGAATCCTGGACATCCCGCCTGGAGCCACGGCCATCAACATCACTGAGAGACGAGCCAGTCCCAACTATTTGGGTACGAACTCTGTCTGGTTTGGAAATATTTTCTGCAGTTTTCTCCTTGAGGAAACAGCTTAATTAAATTAAATACTAAATGTGACCCTGGAGCACAAAAGCCGTCATAAGTAGCACAGGTGTATTTGTAGCAACAGCCAAAAAAAACATTGTATGGGTCAAAATTATCAATTTTTTCTTTTATGCCAAAAATCATTAGGATATTAAGTAAAGATCATGTTCCATGAAGATATTTTGTACATTTCCTACTGTAAATATATCTAAACTTAATTTTTGATTAGTAATATGCATTGCTAAGAACTTCATTTGAACAACTTATCTGTTTCTCTCTAGTATGGTGTGATTGTGCCCCGGAGGCAGAGTGCTGTAGTAGACTAAACACTCACCGGGTTACGTGATGATGTATCCAAATAATCAGTGTTGTTATATTTTTCTTGATTTTCATATCCATGTATTCATTTATGATTTATTACTTATTGTGTTTATGCTTATATTAATCCTCATCATATATTTATATGCAAATACTGTTACATCTATATGTCTCATCTATATTTATCTTTTATTTTTGTTTGATGTATGGTCATAT